GAACATAAAGCTTATTGGGCTATTAAAGCTTTCAATTCAAATCTGGATGATGCTAGTCAACTGCGAAAATTACAAATAAATGAGCTTGAGGAAATAAGAAATGATGCATATGAAAATTCAAGAATTCATAAAGCAAGAATAAAAGAATTTCATGACAAGAAAATACATAGAAAAACCTTCAATGTTGGTCAAAAAGTCTTGCTTTATAATTCTCGACTGCATTTATTTCCTGGAAAATTAAGATCAAGATGGAGTGGTCCTTTTATTGTGAAACATGTGTATCCATATGGGGCCTATGACATCGAGAATCCAAAGAATGGCAATGTTTTCAAGGTAAATGGACATCGTCTGAAAGTTTACTTTGACAATTTTTCAGTTGAACATAACTCTATTGAATTGGGTGATCCTGTATATAAAGATTGATTTTATTTTATTTTATTTTACTTTATTTTTGTTTCTTATATAAATATTGATTTTATTTTATTTTATTTTTGTTTCTTTTTGAGTGATTTTTGCAAGTTTCTTCACCCCGGTCAAATGGCGGATAACGGTACTCCGTGACTTAAGTCGGTTCTTTCAGTTTCCCACAATAACTGATATTTGTGTATATATTTGTGCAATTCTTTGAATCTCTCTTCTAATTCTCATTTGAAAATGGACACTAATCTTGAAAAATTGAAAAAGTATTTTCCCGCTCTGCCTCAGAATGCGATTACAAAAATTTACCGTGCTAGATGTGCAAGATTGAGATTGTTAATGAATCATGGAATTCCTGAAGATATTCGTTGGTTGATTGAAGCAAAGGTCCGATTATCAGGTGAGTCCTCTAACTTCTTCATTTCACACATGCCTGGAACAGGTAAAAGCACTTTTGCAAAGAAGCGTCGTGCAAAACGACTAGAAGTCTGTCATCGATGTGCTAGATGGACTTGTAATACACAATGTCGTTCTTTAGGAATGGTATCTATAAACCGTGAAGATAAAATACAATTCATTAAGGATGGCCTGAGTAAGGAGTCTTTAGATAATCTTCTATTGACTCTTGAGACGCATCCTAGTGGAGATGTGCATCGTGCAATTCATGATTTATGGCCACTATTTCATAAAGAACATGATCGACTTAGTCTTGGGAATCTGACTAAAAAAGACCCTGTTTGCCAGTTTTTAAGAAAACTGGATGGGAAGCCTATCCCCGACCCATAGAGGGCGTTTAAGCCGTTCTTGGACGTAAAACCAAGGGAAGATGTGAGCCACAATCACAACTACCTGTACATACACATGCTTTTTTCAAAAGTAAATAAATAAATAAATAAAAAGAGAGAGAGAGAGTGTGAGACTCCAGCTGGCCTACATATAGATGTTATGATTGCCTTTCTAATTTCTCATCTATAAAACCCTCTTTTCCTTCCTTTCATTTCTACTCAACCCATACATTCAACAAATACAGAAGTGTGTAGAAATGGCAAGTTCCTCAAGTCATCAAATAAGAAATATTTGTGTTTTCGGTGGATCTAGTCCTGGGAAAGAAAAGGAGTTTTTAGAATCAGCAAATCATCTTGGTCAAGTGCTAGCTGAGAGAAAGATTCATTTAGTGTATGGGGGACGCAGTCTTGGGTTAATGGGAGGTGTGTCAATAGCTGCATTTTTAGGAGGTAGTCAAGTTTCGGGGGTTGTCCTCGAAGCTTTAGCACAAGGGGACATCATTGGAAAAACAATTGGAGAGGAACTTCAGGTCTCCACAATGTCAGCTCGAATGAATGCAATGTTTAACCATGCTGATGCCTTCATTGCTTTACCAGGTGGTTTAGGCACATTGGAAGAGATCTTTCATATTTCCTCTTGGGCCCAACTACACATTCACCATAAACCCATAAGTTTGTTAAATGTTAATGGTTATTATGATAAGTTGTTGTCTTTTTTTAATCATGCTGTGGAACAGGAATTTCTAACATCTTCTGCATGACAAATCATAATCTCTGCTGCTACTGTTGAACAATTGATTGACCAATTACAATTTTTTATTCCTGTAATTGATCCTTCCATGAGTCGTATAAATTGGTCAACTAAGGAAAGCCGTAAAAAGCTTAGATTGGATTTGAGCCTTCATTTGTGATCTTTGTGTCTTTTGGTTTTATTATTGTGTTTTGTTATTACTTATATTTGTTTAAGTGTGTTTCAGGTTTGTTAGTGTTCGTTATTTCAGGTGATATCTTCTACACTCTATCTTTCTACCTTTAAACATTGAGGACAATGTCTTGTTTTAGTTGGGGGGAGAGGGTAGTAGTAGTTGATAAAAAAAAATTGTTTTTCATTTCATAAAGCATGTGCATAATTGTTGTTACTAGGATGGCAGAGTAAATGAGCTCTTTTGTTAAAATGACTCTTGAGACGCATCTTAGTAACCATTCTTAACAAGGTCAATTATAATACTTCTTGAAATATTCAGGTTTACAAACTCTTGCATTGTTATCACTTAATTCTGCTCATATACTTATTTAACATGTATTCTTAAACCTTAATTTACACACACACACTTTAACATATGATTGTGAGTTGCATATTGGATTATTACATTATTTATGTTCTTTTGTTAAAGGTAACAACTAAGGGAAAGGGATTGTATATAATTAAGAAGAAAAATGAAATGAAAAATGAAAAAAAAAAGAAAAAAGAAAAAAATGATAATAATAAAAATGTAGATAAGTTTGGTTTTGTAGCCTCCCTAACCTAAGCAATTAAGCCCGAAGGGGTGTTTTAACACCTAATACCCTAAAGTCAACTGACTTGGGACCTATTGGCCCAACGCTTGTTACATGGGTTGAGGAGAAAAGCTTAAGGGAATCAAACATTGCACTATCTACATATCAGTATCCGCGACCCGAGTTATTAAGCTCGTAGGGGTGTCTTAACACTTAATGCCTTAAGACCAACTGATCTGGGAGTCATTAACTGAATGCTTGTTACATGGGTTAAAGATGCATGATGTTTTTAAATTATATGTATATATATTTTAAAAAAAAAAGAAGACAAAAATAATAATCCTAACCCAAGGAAGTTAACCTTAAACATTAGAAAAAAAATTTTGTTTTCTTCCAAGAAAAGTCCCATAATTATGTGTTGATACATTGAGTATAAAAGAAAGGTTTATTAATATCTTGTTAAGAGGTATTGAACAGATATATAAATTTAATGAGAGTTTGTTTATATGGATAGATTAATGGAAGTTAAATGATGAACACCTTGCTTTGTGGAATTTGTAAATTGTTTTTCTATTTTAACGCTTTGATTACAAGGGACTAGTAATAAACTGGTTGGGGGGCGTGATTAGTACTTAAAAGTACATTTTTATCATGGTTTTATATCATCATTTTGCACTTGAAGTATCTGGCCATCTCTTTATCCTTGCAATTTAAGTTCTTCAAGTCATCAATCAGTCCTTTCATTTATGTGATAGGCCTGCATTTAAAATGAACATTTACCACAAATTAAAGGTATCTTCTATTATTAGATATACACAAAGGAGGTTCCAATCAGATTATATATTGTTAACATGATTACATTAGTCATCTTATTCGATTAATGCTAATACTTGTAAATCTCGTCAAGCATTCATGATTATAACTTATGTTAACAACAAATCAAGTTCCTTTCATAGCTCAGGTGTCGGTTATACCATACATTATGGGCTATGAAAGTGCCAAGCATTTGTTGTACCAAGTGTTATACAACATAAATCAAGATTAGTTATTTAACAAGCAAAGTATTAAAGAGTGAACAAGATAACAAATACAAAACATGTTAGTATCAAACATTAAAGTCCATATTAAGTTTACACTATACTTATTCTTACACCATTAGTGTAACCTTTTCACCTTGACATAATAAACTTAGCTAGACATAATGAAATAAAGAAAAATAGATAAACAAAATAAGAACATAAATAAGATAAAAGTTAGCAAAGCAACGGAAAGGAACTGAAAGGCATAAACTTGATATTAAGGAAAGCAAAGCATAAATATTACAAAAAATACAAAGAGAGAAAGGAAGAGCATGATCTTGATCTGGACACCAAGATGCCTAAATGCATGGCAAATGCCTTCTTTTATAGGCCAAAGTTAGGAACTATTGATTTGATGACTAATTGATGAGTGGGTGGCCAACTCTTGACTTGATGACAATCCTTATCTTCTCTTGTCTGCCCAAAACATCATTGATAACATCAAAATTGGAGCCACTCGAAAACATAAAAGTTGTAGACAATTGTCTCAGCTTTCTTGTGTAAACAATTCAGCTCATTTGGACTTTTAGAACTCCAAATATGGCCAAAATACTGAACAATGCTTGGGTTAGAGGACAACTTCGGGCTTCTTTGTTGTTGCAATAATTTGGACTTGAAAATGGCCTTTGTCTTACCTTTCCATATGAAAGTTGTAGGCCTATGTCTTACCTTTCCATCCATGTAAAGTAGACCTAACTCTGAGATCTATAGCTCCAGATATGACTCTATTACCAAACAGTGTTCTGGTTTGGATTACACCGACATCTTTTTTCTAAGTTTGGTCATCTCTTTGCCCTTGCAATTTAAGTTCTTAAAGTTATCAATCAATCCTTTCATTTATGTAATAGGCTTACATTTAAGATGGTTGAAAAGTTTATAAACTGGGCCAAGTTAGGCTAAATTTTCAATGACTACGCTATATCTTGATCTGAAATCCATCTGTCTCAAAACTGAGGCCTCCATCATGGGGGCTAGATACTGAAGTTCAAATTAGAAATGGTATTCTTTTCTTAGATGTTTTGCTACGGATTTTTGTAGCACTGAAATCCTATGTTGTAAAACTACAATCCGCCTGCCAGTTAGATTTGAGACATGGTAGATTTAGAGTTTTAATTGATTTGAATTGGAAAAAAATTATTGGTGATTCGTAAAATAAGGTTGATTTGGAGTTTCTATAATTATATATTTTTCAGGTCTTGTTCAGGGATGGGCTGCCATAATCATGGGAATTTTATCTGGTAGTGTTCCATGGTTTACCATGATGATTGTTCACAAAAGATGGACACTACTGCAAAAAATTGATGACACACTAGAAGTGTTTCACACTCATGCTGTTGCTGGCCTTCCAGGGGGTGTTCTAACAGGCCTCTTTGCAGAACCTGAGCTCTGTGTACTATTTTTGTCGGTGAAAAACTCAAGGGGCGGTGTCTATGGTGGTTCCGGTGGAATCCAAATACTCAAACAACTAGTTGGCGGTGCTTTCATTATTGGATGGAACGTTGTCGTTACATCAATTATTTGTGTAGTGATAAACTTTGTGATACCATTGAGAATGTCTGAGGAACAATTGCTTATTGGGGATGATGCTGTGCATGGTGAGGAGGCTTATGCATTGTGGGGTGATGGAGAAAAGTATGATGCAACCAAGCATGGGGATAACACAGAACATAACATGGAAACGAGGACATCAACTGGTGCCACTCAAGTGATGTAGAGAAGGGGATCCACAAAATTAAATTAATTGTTGTTTGATGATTAATTTGCTTCAAAAATGTTCGAGGTAAATTAAGACTAAGTACTTAATGTATTTCTAAGACTAAGTACTTAATGTATTTCTTGTTCTTTAGACTTGTATACAGAATTTATATTGAGACTTGTTTATATTAAATTTGTGTTCAATCATTTTTTATCACAAAGCCTATTTTTAATAGTTTTAATAAGGTTATTAAACCCGGCTCGACTTATGACCTAATATGAGGTTTAAGTCATGAATTAAGAAGATTAATCTAACTTAAAACAATATAATTTTTTAAAAATCAAACGAGTTTTAACTAAATCAATCAGTTAAAACACTACAAGATTTCACAGTTTTACCGATGGAAAAATTCTGTCGGTGTGTGTTTAGAAGTTCGTCGGTGATTTTTTTACCGACATCATCACCGACGGATTATGTCCACCGGGTTACCTTTCATTGGTGATTCAACATTCTGTCACTATATCGGTCGGCAAAATAAAAAAACCATTTACCAATGGTTTTATAGATAGAATTTGCGCGCCAAAAAAAAAAAGATTCCCGCTTGAATATACCGATGAATTTGTATTCTGTCGGTGATATCGCGATTTACCAACGGAAACTAACCGTCAGTAAGTCGATCGGTGATAGTATGAAATATCGACTGAATATATCCGTCTGTAAATTTATCGATAAGTGTGGCAGCTACTGTTAAATACCGACGGAGTAATTCCGTCAGCAAGTCGGTCGGTGAGTGTTTAAAATACTGACTGAATGAATCTGTCGATAAACTCATTGGTAATTGTTTTTTTTAATTTGTTTTTAAAACATTATTTAGGTTATATAATATAAAACTATGTAAATTAATTGTAATAAAAATCAATTATGCAAATAAAATTTATATTAAACAAAAAAAATACAAAGTTAAATAATATTCATTACAAATTGAATATGTTTCAAAAAAAAATGTTAAATGAAGTTTTAAAGTTAAATAATGTTTATTACAAATTAATATAAAGGTGGAGCTGGAGGAGAAGGAGGAGATCCTGGAGGAGGCTGGTGGTTATACGGCCAAAAAGGATTAGGTGCGCATGTTGCACTATTTACGATGTTCATAACTATTTCGCGAAGTTGTTTGTAAGCCGCTTTTTGTTGTTCATACTCCGCTTCTTGTTACTCTTGAGATGCTTTGAGTTGCGTGTATTTCGCTGATAGGTGGTCGTATTTCTCGGTGAGCTAAGCTGTGTATTGCTGAAAGGCCTCGAACTCCTTAGATTTGAAGCTCGATATTGATTGGGAGCTCCCAATAGTTGAAACACTACGGGTCGACTGCAAGTTGTCGACCATAGTGTTGGAGAGCCCGTAAACCTGATTTTTATCGGGTCCACCTGAGGAGCCAACCTCCATCCACAAATCCAAAGCGAATTCTGTATGGTTCAAAATATCATCCTCGTATCTCTCCCTCAACAGATTATTATAGGTCTCCTGAAAATAAAAATAAAAAAATAATCATCATATTCAATTCAATAAACATAATAACTTACAAAATGAAATGGTTGAACAAACATGTCATGAAATGTTAAGCACAGTTATCAATGAACTATTGCACCCCCTTCTAGCGGTCTTAACTCCCCACGTGCGTCTCTACAAACAACTCCATCGAGCTCAGCTCATGTCCAAGAGACGTAGCCTATAATGAAAAAGGATATATTAACAACAACTGAATTTAACGATATATTTCATTTAAATTAATCTTACCATCCATTTTGCATGTGCAACAAATGGAACGGAGCCGCCAGTGTGCGTTGTTACCCCGCCATGAATTGGTTGATTCTGGTTGCCAGCACCAGACTTTGAGCATCGTGTGAAGTTGCCAGCACCGGACTGTGAGCATCGTGTGAATCGCTCAAACATCACATGCTCAATTTAGTTCATCCATATATCTTTTGGGATGTATATCGATTTGAAATCCCTCCAAACCGTAACATCATTCCAGCCTTGAAAACCCATATCCTTCGCGGCTTTTTTTGCCTTTTTTTGTGCTTCATACCAAAAATCACGCAACCTACTTCACGCAACTAAAAATTACATTTTGAAACATAAATTTTTTTCTAAAAAAAATCTTATATTGTTTTTTATCTTACCTAGTTGTGCTCACTGTGTTATGCTCACTGTCCCAGCAGAATTTGTACTGTATATAAATGAACAAGTTTAGATAAAAATAATAATTTATTTACTATTATATTAATAAGCTAAAAATTATAAATGAATATCAACCTCAAACCTGTTAAACCATGCATTAAATTGAGGCATCCATTCATGATGCTTGGATATCTGATTTCATTGAAACAATGGAATCTCCATCGACGATTTAAATGCCGATGATATTACTCGGGCAGCTTCAATGTTTGTGAACCTGAAAATAAATGAAATAAATTCAATAGTGATTATTTCATAAATTATGTTGTAATATAAAAAAGAAAAAACTAAAACCTTAACAAACTTATATTGAAAGGTCATCTTTTTACTGTACTTTGTATTGGCGGGTAAATTGATTCCGCTGTGAAGGCACGTCGTCTTTGCGCTGTGAAGTAGCGCTGAAAAAGGCAGCATCAGTTGACGGCGCAGGTGGTGTAGGTGCCTCTTCTTCAGAGGCACCTAAAGAGATATCATCATCGCTGCTAGACGAACTAGCTGCGACCATACATGAGCGACCGACTCTGGTTTTTTATCTACGCATCTACACAATTTTATACAAATAATTATATAATTAAATTCAAATGTTAAAAAAAAATCGACAGCACCTCCCCTATACTGGATACTACCCAAATCAACAAACCTGCACATATTAACAATAGCCACAACCAATTTACCCAATCTATACTAATTATTTCAACATATTCGATTCCTAATCTTAAGGTAAATTCAACATTAAAAATTACAATTCAACAAATTATTCAATAATTATGCCAATACAACAAAACAATAAATTAAAAAAAAAACTCTAGAATAAAAATCAAAATAAATGGAAAAAATTAAACCCAAATCATGCAATAATAAAGTAAAATTAATAATTATTCCAACATATTCAATTACTGATCCTAAGATAAATTCAACATTAACAATAAATATTCAACGAATTAACTAATAATAATTATGCCAAAACAACAATCAAAAATATTCAATAAATTAAAAACAAAAACTATAGACTTTAGCAATGAATTATGCAAAAACAAACTATAGACTTTATTTACATTACAAAAAATACACCAAAACAAAAACCATTAAAGTAAAATGAAAAAAAAAAAAGAAAGACTAACCTTTCAAATTGATGGAGATTCATGACAAAAAATGCTTGAGATCACCGGTGAAGCACAGAGAGCAGCACAAAGAGGAAAAGAAAGGTGAAAGACTTAGGAGAAGAGAAAATGAACTGAAGAGGCAGTCGGGGGCACTTATATGACAGTTTTGTTGCCGGATTACCGATGGATTCATCGATGGTCATATGCTAGTTTTACCGATGGATTAACCAACGAATAGAAAATTAATTATTATTTTTAATTTATTCTGTCGGTGAGGTGTAAAAATCCATCGATAAATTTTGAATTTCGCACCAAAATTTTTAATGTTGGTAAATTCCGTTGGCAATATGACATGATCAAAGATGCATTTAATGCACAATGCTTTAAAATGCGCATGGTCAATCAGTAAGTTTGTCGGTAAAATTGATCCACCACCAACATTTTGAAGGACTCAACTCCGTCAATCTGGTCGTCGGTGATGTGGTGGCATTTGAAGTAATTATTTTTGAACTCTCTATGAAATGTCAACGGCCTTAAGGACTTACATTGCAACTGTAATATCTAATCGTTCGAATGGGTACATCCATCTATATTGGACCGGTCCTCCAGCTTTTGCCTGGAACAGTAGATGTATAGGAAGATGCTCCATTGAGTCAAAACATGATGGAGGGAATATCATCTCAAGTTTGCATAGTGTTTCAAC